TTTTCGTTAACAGCAATCCTGAATCTTAATATAATTGTTGTTTAATTGATCCACATATTATAGCAGTGCAGCTAAATTTATGTTATTGGATGAACAGCTAACTTTTCAGCGCTGTATTTAAACCCTACGCGGGTTAGGGAGCTCGATTTGGCTGTGGGTGACTCCAACTCAACTTCAACTTCACTCAGTGTCAGAGTGGAAGTGGCGAAGGTCTAGTTTCGGAAAGGCCTAGGGTTTATTAGGGAGTGTGTTTCTCGTGGTGCGTGCTGGGAAGCTTCCCTCCTCTCCTGACAATGTAAACTCCCACAAAACTACAAATTAATGTCTACAATCTGATATGTAGTTTAAGATGTGTTTGAAGTCAGACTGCAGTGAAATCAGTGACTTTAGGCTCTTTAGAGAAAAAAAGGTCACTGAACACGATTGTTGCACTTTTTTACTTTTATTTGATAAAATAAAAACCTTTTTAACTAACTAGGTTACCATAGTAGCAGCTCTCAATTAAAAAAGATCTCGGCTTTCTGGAAGCCAAGTAAACACAAACCAACGTGTCCTCAGCCTCCAGCTCTTAATCTTTAAACAAACAGACTTTATCACAGCTCAGGAACAGATTGATGGTTAACAGTCACACGTCCCTCTGGCTGTTTCCTGTTTAAAGTTTCACTTCTCTACAAGTTGGTACTTTTTCAGTTTGTCTGAAAGCCTTCCTTATTTTCTCCACCTGGACCTCCGGCTGAAGGTAATGTAACCAGATTGAAAGGTTTTGCTCATTAACACAAGCTGTGGTTAGCTTTGCTCCACTTAATTTCTCCAAACTTTCAGCTCTGAGCTTCACTGGAAGCTCTGGATGAAGGAGGACGAGATGAGCCACTGCTCTCCTGCTGTCTGAGCCACTAAATGCTGCTTTGCTCGGCCGGACAGCCGCTGGAGAACAGCTGTTAGTGTCGGAGAATGCTGTCAGTAGATTTACCTGCAGAACTGGTTGAAGCTTCTTCGCATAGACAGTCAGCCGGTTCTTTATTGATCCATATTCAGTATCAGATTATTCAGATATGTTAGATTGTTTTTCTGTAGATAAATGTCACATGTCTGCATGATCAGCTGACCTGCTGTGGTCTGACCAAAAGACATTAGCTCAGCAGTTCATTAGAAGAGAACCAGCTGAACACTCGTCTCTATCTGAAGCTGTAATTAATGCCTGTGAATCCTCTACAGGAAACATTGGAGGTTGTTATTAGGAACATTATTAGAAAAGATATATTTTTAAAAATTAATGTTTATTGTTTATATAAAAGATGTTGTTATTGTCAAAGACAAAGGAAAATATGTAATGTTGTTATATTGGAGTCTTAGTTGGTGTGAAATAATCAGCTGTAGCTTGTTGCAACAAGTCATTTTCTACAGGGACTCTGTAGAAAGAGAGATTCTGTCAGACCACATCAGTCCTTCAGTGAATGTATCCGCTCCTCCATGCATGGTGTGTGTGCTGGGCTGCAGCTTCATGCCTCCATCTAGTGGACTGATAATAGAAGTCAGCTGATGGCAGCTTCCTCTGCCTCACGCTGCTGTCTGACTGCATTCAGCTGCCACTGATATGAAACAGAAACTAGCAGCCAATCAGTGGAGGAGCAGCTGATCTTTTTCCAGGAGAAATGATGGAAAGGAGGATTTGAGTTGATGTGCAGATGAATGATTTGTGTTTCCTCTCCAGGTGAAAGTGGATGTGAGTTGAGCAGCATGAGTCAGTGTGAGGACAGAGAGGAGGGAGTCCCTCCCTCTAAAAGCACTCTGTGTGGGGAACATGACAGCCAGACCAAAGCTCAGAGGTGAGATGAGGATCTCTAACTGTCCAGGACTCAAATCACTCCACCATCATTATTCACTCTCAAAGCTCTGTGTGTGTTGTGTTGAAGCCCAGAGCAGCAGCAGGGACCAGACTCTGCTGGACCTGGACCTGGACCTGGACCTGGACCTGAGCCCAGCTGTGTGTCCTTCAAGAGTGACCGGTCAATGGGTCACCCCATGACTTTTAAGCGAGGACATGTGTCTGACAGACAGTGAGTATGTGTCAGTATTAAACAGCGTTGGCCAATCAGAGCTAAATGTTCATGTCTCCCTCATCATGTTGCTCACTGCTGATGTTTGTCCTCATTAAATCCAGTCTGACCAGTTGTCCTTCTAATGTCCATGTTCTCCTAGAATGATGATGAAGGTCAGAGCCAGATTAGGATTAAAGGACAGGTCCACATGTTTTCCAGTCTGTCCCTAAACAACACTGACATGCCCATATGTCCACTGAAAGAGTTGTTGGTGGCTGGAATTGTTCCTCCTGTGCACACTGGCCCTGAAGAGATCTCTTCCTGATGGGGTTTCAATGGAAGTGATGGAGGACAGAGTCCACAGTCCTGCTTCTGTGGAAAAAGACAGTGGAAAATTCAGCTGAGGACAATATGAGGCTTCAGCAGTCTGAGTTCCACAAATCAAATTCAGCTCTTTTTAGTCTGAAGCTTCCTCTTTGGATTTTGTCCTAAAATGCTTCACCTACCAAAGTCTGTAAATAGCAGTCAGGATATTTGTGGTGAGTCTAGTAATGCAAACGTTAGAATACAGGCCAACAGAGCTGCTGCTGATGGAGCCACAGTTAAGTTTGGTATCTGTCAGGAACAGTAAGATCTGCTCAGAGATCAGAACATTTAGTCCTGGTTTGGTCCAATATTTGCTGGAAATGAAGCGATGATACACAGACTGAAATCATTCAGCTTCAGCTTTTATTGATCTCTTTTCCTTTTCATATTGATAGCTACTAATTTCTCCAGCAGCTTCTGTGGCTGAACACTAAAAAGTCAATTTCCATCCTCAGTGGTCTTCCTCTCTGTCAAACAGGATCTATGGGAGACCAGCATCTGGTGGACGTGGACCTGAACACAGTGTGTCCTTTAAGAGTGACTGGTCGGAGGAGCTGGCTGAGCGTCTGCAGAGCAGTAAGAGGATTTCTCTAAAGATTTAACCTGCTGGATAAACGGGATATTTACTGATGGCTAAACAGATGGAGGGAAACATGTTTAGATAAGGAAATTAAACTGTCACATGGACTTTATCAATCACTGATTGATCTGTTTTGTCGTGTCTTCATTCAGAAAGTCATTCTGCAGTTTGTCAGCGTAAACTCAAGTCTAACCTGTTGAAGAAGTTCCAGTGTGTGTTTGAGGGGATTGCTAAAGCAGGAAACCCAACCCTTCTGAACCAGATCTACACAGAGCTCTACATCACAGAGGGAGGGACTGCAGAGGTCAATGATGAACATGAGGTCAGACAGATTGAAACAGCATCCAGGAAACCAGACAGACCAGAAACAACCATCAGACAAGAAGACATCTTTAAAGCCTCACCTGGAAGAGATGAACCAATCAGAACAGTGATGACAAAGGGAGTGGCTGGCATTGGGAAAACAGTCTTAACACAGAAGTTCACTCTGGACTGGGCTGAAGACAAAGCCAACCAGGACATACAGTTCACATTTCCATTCACTTTCAGAGAGCTGAATGTGCTGAAAGAGAAAAGTACAGCTTGGTGGAACTTGTTCATCACTTCTTTCCTGAAACCAAAGAAGCAGGAATCTGCAGGTTTGAAGAGTTCCAGGTTGTGTTCATCTTTGACGGTCTGGATGAGTGTCGACTTCCTCTGGACTTCCACAACAATGAGGTCCTGACTGATGTTACAGAGTCCACCTCAGTGGATGTGCTGCTGACAAACCTCATCAGGGGGAACCTGCTTCCCTCTGCTCGCCTCTGGATAACCACACGACCTGCAGCAGCCAATCAGATCCCTCCTGAGTGTGTTGGCAGGGTAACAGACGTACGAGGCTTCACTGACGCTCAGAAGGAGGAGTACTTCAGGAGGAGAGTCAGTGATGAAGAGCTGTCCAGCAGAATCATCTCCCACATCAAGACATCACGAAGCCTCCACATCATGTGCCACATCCCAGTCTTCTGCTGGATCACTGCTACAGTTCTGGAGGAGGTGTTGAAGACCAGAGAGGGAGGAGACCTGCCCAAGACCCTGACTGAGATGTACATCCACTTCCTGGTGGTTCTGTCCAAACTGAAGAACATCAAGTATGATGGAGGAGCTGAGACAGATCCACACTGGAGTCCAGAGAGCAGGAAGATGATTGAGTCTCTGGGAAAACTGGCTTTTGAGCAGCTGCAGAAAGGCAACCTGATCTTCTATGAATCAGACCTGACAGAGTGTGGCATCGATATCAGAGCAGCCTCAGTGTACTCAGGAGTGTTCACACAGATCTTTAAAGAGGAGAGTGGGCTGTACCAGGACACGGTGTTCTGCTTCGTCCATCTGAGCGTTCAGGAATTTCTGGCTGCTCTTCATGTCCATCTGACCTTCATCAACTCTGGTGTCAATCTGCTGGCAGAAGAACAAACAATAAAAGATAAATCTGAAGTAACACATTTCTACCAGAGTGCTTTGGACAAGGCTTTACAGAGTCCAAATGGACACCTGGACTTGTTCCTCCGCTTCCTCCTGGGACTTTCACTGCAGACAAATCAGAATCTCCTACGAGGCCTGTTGACTCAGACAGGAAGTGGCTCAGAAACCAAGCAGGTAGTGGTTGAGTACATCAAGAAGAAGATCGAACAGACTCCCTCTGCAGAGAAAAGCATCAATCTGTTCCACTGTCTGAATGAACTGAATGATCGTTCTCTAGTGGATCAGATTCAACAGTACCTGAGTTCAGGAAGTCTCTCCACAGATAAACTCTCTCCTGCTCAGTGGTCAGCTCTGGTCTTCATCTTACTGTCATCAGAGAAAGATCTGGACGTGTTTGACCTGAAGAAATACTCTGCTTCAGAGGAGGCTCTTCTGAGGCTGCTGCCAGTGGTCAAAGCCTCCAAGAAAGCTCTGTAAGTGGGATTTATTACTCATAAATAACATTTTCAACTGGACATAACTTAATACTTGTTTTGTTTCTGCTGTTTCTCCAGTCTGAATGACTGTAACCTCTCAGAGAGAAGCTGTGAAGCTCTGTTCTTGGTCCTCACCTCCCAGTCCGCAAGTCTGAGAGAGCTCGACCTGAGTAACAACAACCTGCAGGATTCAGGAGTAAAGCTGCTGTCTGCTGGACTGGAGAGTTTACATTGTAAACTGGAAACACTGAGGTCAGGATTCAGTAACCCAGCCAATTGATGACCCTTTAAAGGCTGAATTTATGTTATTGGATGAACAACTAACTTTTCTATTATTGTCTTTGCCAATATCTATGGACCTTTCAATCGCTCTTTGAGGTCAAAGTGAGTCAAAGTTTGTCTCTTGTACGTGGATCGGTTGAAGACTTCTTTTTTTCTCTCCTAACAAGTCTTTGCACGGCAGAAACCTTGAGACTTAGAAACTTAAAGATAGAAACTTAGTAATGCGTTACTGTAATATTATTACTTTTCCCAGTGAGTTGTAGTGTAAGGTATTACTATGTCCAAAATGGGTAATAATATTGCAGTCCCAATCCAAGTATTGCCACATTAATGCGCTTCCAGAACGCATCCTTGATGTGAATGCGCGACTGCCTGGCAGGTCAGTGGCATCGGACCTTATGATGTTCTAGCAGCCAAAGAGCTAAAGAAAGAGTGGCGAGTGAGATAGGGGTTCTTTTGACATCTGTCCGTATTGCCATTATTATGTCACAGTCAGAAATGCAAAGGACATTGTCGTTTGTTTCAAACTTTGTTCGACCAGCCACAAGCTTTCAACAGCAAACAACTACATCTAATTTATTTAAACATCTACTACAGCAGCACAGCAATGTGAAACTTGTAGATAGAAATTGAATAGAGATTGAAATACCGTATATACAGTATCTCACAAAAGTGAGTACACCCCTCAAATTTTTGTAAATATTTGATCATATCTTTTCATGAGACAACACTGAAGAAATTACACTTTACTACAATGTAGTAAAGTGTAATTTCTTCAGGCTTGTACAACAGTGTAAATTTGCTGTCCCCTCAAAATAACAAATCACACAGCCATTAATGTCTAAACTGCTGGCAACAAAAGCGAGCACACCCCTACATGAAAATGTCCAAATTAGGCCCAATTAGCCAATTTCCCTACCTGGTGCCATGTGACTCGTTAATGTTACCAGGTCTCAGATGTGAATGGGGAGCAGGTGTGTTAAATTTGGTGTTATCACTCTCACACTCCCTCATACTGGTCACTGGAAGTTCAACATGGCCACTCATGGCAAAGAACTCTCTGAGGATCAGAAACAAAGAACGGTTGCTCTACATAAAGATGGCCGAGGCTATGAGAAGACCCTGAAACTGAGCTGCATACAGCGGTTCAACAGGACAAGTTCCACTCAGAATAAGCCTCACCATAGTCCACCAGAGAATTTGAGTCGTGTACTTTTGTGAGATACTGTACGTAGAATAGCATCATCTTGTTTGAGAGGCTGCGGTGTTTGCAGTTTGGAAGTAACAGGTTACTTATTACAATTTCTAAATATCTTGCCTAACACTGCTATTCAGTGACATATAATGCCATTCATTCACCTTGGGTTGATGCAAAAATAATTGTTTGTGTTTCTGCAATTATCTTATCATTTAGCTTAGAGTCCAAATTTTTTCATTGCTTTAATCAAATGTGAAAATGTCAAAACTGCATTTTTCGTGACCTGCTTGGACCTTAAGCATTGCTGCTTGCCGCTACTGTAGTCGGGGGCTAGGGGCCACACATGCAAATCAGTGTGGTACCCTGTACCAGCAATGCTAGACACCCTGAAATAGCATTTTTAAATGTTTTATTGTTTTGTCTATAAAGTCATACTGCAGCCTAAACACATTTCAGACCACAAAAAAACTTGTGTCAGCTAGCAGGTGGGGCTATAACCAAGTAAACTCTGATGCACCCGCTGCGCTGTCCACCAATTACTCTTTTAACCACCACAAAAAGAATCAATATGCCTCCTTCGAATATCATGCTGTCTTGGTGTCTGCTCCGGTAAAGGTCTCTGTGATTGTGAGATACCGTCCACCAGAACAAATGGATAACTTTGTCGACGATCTAGACACACTGCTGTCTTTAATCCAAGAGCATTGCTGTCCTTTACTTTTCCTTGGTGACATTAACATTCACTTAGACAAATAAAACTCAGCAGACATCCTGTCTATAATTCAGTCTTTGATCTAACATGAGTTCTCAGCCCCCTGACCCACAAAGCTGGCAAGGTGTTTGACCTCGTTCTTGTCCGAAACTGTGCCACCGAATGCCCAACAGTCACACCTCTACACATGTCTGACCACTATTTCATTCAGTTCACGGTATGCCAACAGGAAAAGCACATTGTTCCAGCACCGCTGCAACCTCTGGAACCTGTCTCCCACTCACTTTGCCTCAGTGGCAGCTTCCACTTTACCTCCCCTCAACACATTTTCCTCACTCGGGATCAATGCCGCACAATCTTTGTGCTCTACACTGCATGCCTGGATAGCCTGCGTCCTGTATCCACTCAGAGCCGCTGAAAGAAAATGGCAAAAAAACGGACAATGACCTACCAAATGCTCCTATCCTCTTTCTCAACCAGCATCAGTGCTGCCAAAACTGTGTTCTATAATGACAGAAGTAGCAGTGACACTGAGTCAAGGAAACTATTTTCCACTTTTAAAGTGCTACTGAATCCATCTCCACCACCCACAAACACGATACCTTTACTTCCTTCTTCAAAGGCAAAGTGATGGCTATAACTTGCCAATTCTCTCCATCAACCAAAATCAACTGTCTACTCCTGCTCTGGGCAGCTTCCACTCTGTGAGCACGGCACAAGAAAACAAAACATGTAGCAGTCCTTTTACATGTCTCTCTCCATCTCCCTCGGGAATGGCGCAAAACGTTTGACACCAAGGCTAACATGTAGCAGTCCTACTACATCTTTTTCTCTGTCTTCCCAGGTCAATAGTACTTCACTCTCCTCGTTTACCCCTCTCACTGACAGCAAAGTATTGGAACTCCTGACCCATAGCCGTCCCACTACACACCCACAGGACCCGATTCCTACCAATCTCCTCCAATCCATATCTCCTAATGTTACACCCTTGCTCAAAGAGCCCTCACTCGACCCAACTCAAGGTTTAAAAGTGGCCAGTCTACTGAAATGGCAATTTTGTCTGTAACAGAAGCCCTAAGGTCAGCTAGAGCTCCAGCCCAGTCCTCGGTTCTTATCCTGCTTGACCTATCAGCTGCCTTTGACACAGTCAATCACAGGATTCTGCTATCTGCACTCTCAGCAATGGGCATCTTGGGCACAGCACTCCTGTTCAGATCCTACCTCTCGTGGTGTTCCTACATTGTTATGTAGCAAGGACAATCTTCCTCCCACTGCTTTGCCACAGGGTTGCCCCAAGGCTCGGTAAATTTAAATGCCTTTTGGCCAGTAACTCCCACATAATATGTTGCACAAAACCGTAAATGCATGCTTTCCTTGACTCGTTTCCACCTATAATTTTTGGCATCGTGCAAAATTTGGCAATAAAGTCATCTGATATCTCCAAATATGTTTGTTTGATTAACAAAACTTGGGCTGGTAGTTTACCATGCCACCCTGAGTTTGTGCAGAATCTTTGGTGCCAGTTGGCCACTAGGTGGGTTTATGAGTTACACAAAACATTGTTTCATAAGCTTTCAATGCACCAAATAATGTAACTTCTCCGAATAGTCTGTCCGATTAAGATGAAACTTCAGCCAGTAAGTTCCTATGCCCCACCGAGACTCTATGTTGTATATATGGTGACAATTGGTCAATAGGTGGCTCTAAAAATTATGTGAGCTTATGTCTCCACATTGGTCTTTTTCATTAAAATGAAAATTTGTACGTAAAAACTATGGCTTCTAATGAACAACGATTATGAACTTTTCCATGCCTCATCAAGGTTCTGTGCAAAATTTCGCATCTATTTAGCTGCTAGATGACTCTGACAATGAAGTGTCATATGTTTTTAGTCAACAACGGACTGTCAAATCAAATAATATTTCAGTCAGTTTTCACATCAAATTGGAGGGATAATAAATAACTACTCTAATAATAAAATCTAAATTTAAGTAAACTAAAATAAAGTGCCTAATTTTTAGAAAAAATGAAATATAAAGTGTAGCTTGAAGTGATGAAGTGTAGTCTTTTCCAATTTTATAATAAACACTCAACACATCATAACAAATGAACAGCTGTAATGCCTCCTCTTCTCTTTCATTCCCTCTTATAGAGCTACCACTACTTTCTCTTGCTCAGTGAGAAACGTGAGCTCTAGTTGTCATGATTGGCTGACGTACTGCTGACGTATTGCGGTAAGCGTGTCGACTCATTTCCGTTTCCGGTGCTTGTGTGTTGGTACCGTGTTGTGCTGCTCTCGCTAAATAACAGTTACATTTGTTTGATTACAGCGGCCAACTGTCCGCTAAACACTTATTCTTTACAGTAATTTTGCCTAAGCACTCACAGTTCTTTCCAGGGCCGGCCCTGGCCAGTTTGCTGCCCTAGGCAAGATTTCACCTGATGCCCCTGGATTTTTGTTCATAAACTTACACATAAACAAACTGCACAGGTTTGTCTTGTTTTTTTTTGAAAATATTTTGGAAACACAAACACACAACGTATTATAGATACAATATAAATATGTATTATATTATATTATGTTATTGCAGAAAAAACTATATTACAGAAAACTTGCTTTCAGCATATGTAACATTCCAAAAATTATAAATAAGACCATTACACAAAAAATAAATAACTATACACAAACTTGAATGCACTATGCAAAATGTTTAGCAAATGTTCTACAGCCTTACTCGCCTTGCCTTTCTAGCCGCAGCCGACAGCTGTTGTGAGACCACATGATTTATGCTAATGACTGAAGTCCACTGAGACGTTCTTGAGCCATTGTAGATCTCAGGTAGTTTTTAATCAGTTTGAGCTTAGAGAAGCTCCTTTCAGCAGCAGCGACTGTCACAGGTAGAGTGGCAGAGATTCTCAGAGCGACCCACATATTGGGGAAAATTTCCATCAGCTTCTTCTCGTGCAGGAAAGTCAGCAATGTTTGTCATAATTTTTTATGTCAGATGTGGAAAGTTTTGCATTTCTAATACAAGTTTCAATTCAAATTAGCGAACGTTACAGGCATCGTGATCGTCGAACTAACTTAATGCAACACAGATAAACTGATCACACATCATTACCTACCTCTGTCTTTTTCGCGTTTTTCTTCCTCTTCTCTTCTTTTTTTTCTTCCCTGGGCACCAGATGGCTTGGGTCTTTTTGACATAATGACAACTTATCAGTGTCAGTGAATTCGGCCATCCGTCACTCACAATCACATACAGGTAACGGGGTTTTTTTCAGCAGGGCGGGGGAGATTGATGCGCCACTCAGTCGGACCGGGGGGATTCAGGATTCCCCCCGGATTCACGATCGCTTTTTTAAATCCATAATATTTAAGTTGTATTAGTAAAAAAAAATTATAAAAAAATTAATTTGGGCGCTCGGGCGCCCCAAGGGGTGGGCGGCGCCCTTAGCATTTGCCTATTCCGCCTATGCCCAGGGCCGGCCCTGCTTCTTTCCATCTTGTAGTGACTGCTGTTCAATCTCATAGTTGTTCTAAAGTTTTGGTAGCTGACGCTACAGTACTTTAGCTTAGCCGTTAGCGACTTTAGCTTAGCAGCTAGCGATGGCTTCTCCTTCTCCCTCTCTCTCCTACTTTCTCCTGCTCGGTATGTCAGATGTTCAGTTACTCCTCTGCCTCCTTTAGCGGTAATGGTACATGTAATAAGTGTAGTTTATTTATAGACATGGAGGCGAGGCTCAGTGATTTAGAAGTCCGGCTCCGCACCTTGGTAGATCAGTCTTTAGCTACAGTAGCTAGCCAGTCCCCGGTAGTCGGTGCGGAACGGCCTGAGTTAGCCTCTGGTAGCCGTCCCCGGCATCCCCTGTGCAGCCAGGAAAGGGGGGGGGCTGGGTGACTGTCCGAAGGAGGAATAGTCGTAAGCATTCAAAGTCCACGGGGCATCATCAACCTGTTCACGTTTCTAACAGATTTTCCCCACTCAGCGACACACCCGCTGAGAAACCAACTCTGATCATTGGCAGCTCCATTTCGAGAAACTTGAAGTTAGCGAAGCCAGCGGCCATAGTTAAGTGCATCCCTGGGGCCAGAGCGGGCGACATTGAGTCTTATTTGAAACTGCTGGCTAAGGATAAACGTAAATACAGTAAGATTGTTATTCACGTCGGCGGTAATGACTCCCGGTTACGCCAATCGGAGGTCACTAAGATTAATGTTGAGTCGGTGTGTACATATGCAAAAACAATGTCGGACACCGTAGTTTTCTCTGGACCCCTGCCAAATCTGACCAGTGATGACATGTATAGCCGCATGTCGTCATTCCGCCGCTGGTTGTCGAGGTGGTGTCCAGCAAACGATGTGGGCTTTGTTGATCATTGGCAGACTTTCTGGGGAAGACCTGGTCTGATCTGGAGAGACGACATCCATCCCACTTGGGAAGGAGCAGCTCTCATTTCTAGAAATCTGGCCAAGTTTATTAGTGGACCAAATCCATGACAACCCAGAGTTGAGACCAGGAGGCAGAGTCGCAGTCTAACACACTTCTCTGCCCTTCTTTTTCAGCAGTTACCCACCCAAAACCCTACGCAGAGTCGCAGTCTAACACACTTCTCTGCTCCTCCATTTCAGGAGTTACTTAGTGAAAATCCTATAGTGACGGTGTCTGCCCCCCGACCATCGAAATTATTTAAAAAGGTAAACAGAAGAGGAGCTGTGCATAAAAACCTCATAAAAATTAAAACCACAAGAGCAATAGTGCAAACGAATAGGAGAGTTAAATGTGGACTCTTAAACATCAGATCTCTCTCTTCTAAAGGTGTACTAGTAAATGAACTAATATCAGATTATGATATTGATTTATTTTGTCTTACTGAAACCTGGCTGGGTGATGGAGAATATGTTAGCCTAAATGAATCCACCACTCCCAGTCATATTAATACTCACATTCCTCGAGGCACAGGCCGAGGAGGTGGAGTTGCAGCTATCTTCGACTCTAGCCTATTAATCAGCTCTAAACCTAAACTAAACTATAACTCATTTGAAAGTCTTGTTCTTAGTCTTTTGCACCCAAGTTGGAAATCACTGCAACCAATTCTTTTTGTTATAGTGTACCGAGCACCTGGCCTGTATTCTGAATTCTTATCTGAATTTGCAGAGTTTTTGTCAACTTTAGTCCTTAAAACGGACAAAGTTATTATTGTAGGAGATTTTAATATTCATGTGGATGTTGAGAATGACAGCTTCAGTACTGCGTTTATCTCCCTGTTAGATTCCATTGGCTTCTCTCAGTGTTCATGAACTCAATTTGTGTGTGTTTCCAAAATGTCTCTGGTGAATCTCGTGGACTTGACTTGCAAGCTGGGCAGCGTCACATGAGACGATTGGAGCACATGCGATTGGTCTGTGAGTTTCTAGTGCTGCTAAACCAGTACAGTAAATGCTAGAAGGTTAAAATAGAAATGCTCCATCACAAGGTAGTAAGTCTCAATAATAAATCGGATGTAGGTCGGCAGTCTGGAGAGGACAGCAGCTGGGTCCGGATCCGGACCGCAGTCCGCCTATTAGTGACCTCTGCTTTAGACCATATAACAAGAGTTGTACTTTTATATTATATATATATAACAGCCGCAATCAGCTCTGGCAGCCAAAATTCCAATCAAACAGTCACAAGAGCAATGACAGGACTTGCTAGTAGTTTAAGATGAAATATGAATTTTTTTTGTTGTTCTAATTCACCACTGGCTAATATTTAAAACAGTCACTAGTTAGGTCACTCCTGCTGTAGACTCTGTAACATTAAGTTTACAATGACATGGTTAATGTTGATGTTTAGATAGTTTCTTCTTGTATCTGACTGAATCCTGATGATCTGCCCTGTCCATTGGTTTGTGTGTTTGCAGGCTGTCAGGATGTCTGATAACAGAGGAAGGATGTGCTTCTCTTGCCTCAGCTCTGAGCTCCAACCCCTCCCATCTGAGAGAGCTGGACCTGAGCTACAATCATCCAGGAGACTCAGGAGTGAAGCTGCTGTCTACGGGATTAGAGGATCTGCACTGGAGACTGGACACACTCAGGTATGAAGAGGCCTGACAGTCAGTCTGATAGAGGAGGTGTTTTTGGTTATGGTGGATGTGAGTATTAAATGAACAATCACACATTTAGAAAGCCTTCGTTGATCGTTGTGTGGGAGAACTTCTCCAGGAACAAACATGATAAATGCCTGTTGATAATAATTTATGCAGTTTGGGCAGATCTCTGCATGTTAAAGGAATTGTCTGTCAGTCTTAGAAGTAAACTTTGAAACGATGAACGAACATTTTAAGTGACAAAGTTCATAAAAGTGAGGTGGAACAACCAATTAGGCTTTTCAGAGGCCGAGTCTTTTAATGTGGAAACGCTGAAATGAGGCTAAAATTGTCATACACGCCACGCCATAAGAACACATCAAATCAATACATTACTGTATTGATTACTGTATTGAACAGACTACATCTGTTATTTAGGCATTCATTCTGTCTCCCTGCATGTGTCCAGCAGCTGTGTTACTCAGCTCTTCGTTTTTAAAATTTGCCACACTTCTGCCAGTAGAATTGTCCACATCTGTGATTGGTCATCTGCTGCCAACACCACCTTTTTCATATGAACACACTCACAGCTGGATTGGGAAACCCTGGGCTGACTTACTGAGTTGATAACCAACTTCGTGTGACAGCTTATCCCAGTCCCATTGTTAGGCTTAGTGAAGCCAGATAATGAAAAGAGATCCTTGCTTCGTGGTATGGGGCCCAGGTTTTTACAAATATTTACAAAGCCCACATAATTTGCTGGAAACAACCTGTATAGCCAGTGATCTCATGATGCAATGCGTCATCATGAGATTTATTGTCATTTCTATCCAGTCACACGTGAGGCTGGTCATTCCTGTATTTAGGCCAAATAGACAACAATTAAACAGAGTAAACACGCAGCCTAAGGAGACAAACAAGTCACAAAACTGCACTAAAGTCTCTAATGAAGCAAGCAAAGCAAAATAAATCTTGCATATCCAGCCATCTCATCTACTGCATCTGATGAAAGCAACCGGAGGCTCAAGTATAAATGAACGCTGCTGTGCAAAATTTTTTGGATTGATATGATGAAGCGCAGTTATTGGTCAGTGACGAGTGAAGCAATTTGCAAATAAACTGTATGCAGTAGTGTTAAAAGGTATCAGAAAAGGAAATAAACGTAAAGCCTAAAACTGAGCACCAACTTTGATATGAGTTACATCATTTAAATTTCCTTTAAACATTATCCTAAAAAATCCAAATACACCATCATCATATTCTCGGTTATTCAATAAAGAATTCACAATCAGAACCAATAAATATAAATCCAGATAATATCAGCATTGTTCTAGTAGAAATGATCCTGTGCCTCTGAGCAGGACATACAGTAACCTATAATTATTCATGTGCAGGTGTTTCTTGAACAGCTACAGAGAAAAACATGCAGATCTGCAGTGATAACTAAGCCCTTATTAGTGCCAACACAGTGCACGTGTGCAGACACAAACTCCATCCAAAGTCTCTCGAGCTGTTAGAGCTGATCACAGCTGTGATTGGCAAAACTTTGGTCATGTACATAAAAAAGCTTTTTTAGCGTATGAAAGAGGCAAGGCAGCTTTCCTCCATTGTGCAGGCAAGAGACTGGTCTGCCACTTCAGGGAGGCTCCATGCCCTACAAACACAATTGAGTAGCTGTTTGTTTGTTTATCCATGCATGGGAGTGGAAAAGAATCTGGTTTAGTAACAGCATTGACTTTTCTATAATCATTACAGGAACATGGGGTCTAGTCAGGTTTAGGGACAAGCAGTGAAGGGGAACTCCAAGAACTACTACTTGAGACAGCGCAACCGTGGTCAAGGAGATATTTTACCTCCTGCTGCATTAAGGCACGTTTTGTCGGATTGACATGATAGGCATGCTGTTTTATGGGTTGATGAACACACACATCAACATCATGACATAACACATTGGTCTGCATGGGGAAGTCCTGAAAAAGGGTCTGATTAATGAGCTCACTAATGTGACACCCTTCCCGTCTACCAGGGGCCTCAAATATGAAAAATGGATTCTGCAGGGGAACAGGCTGCACCAAACAACAAACGAGGCTCAACCAGTACTGTTTATATACCCACCGAAAGCCATATTTACTAAGTTGAACAAAAATAAACAGTTAAAAGACCTAAATAGGAAAAGGGGTTCTAAATCATCTATGATAAAACATCTAGTGAGATCAATGGCCAAGCCTTAATACGTCTCGGTCACTGTCCTTGAAATCCCTTCTTTCAGTCCGCCGGCTCTCCGTCTACTGTCTGTTGCCCTCAGTGTTTGCTGCTTTATATGGTTCAGCAGTGGCCAGCACCAGCCTAAACGACAGAATGCTCACGGCAGTTACAGAGCTACGCACAGTCCTTTCTTCCACAATAGTTCTGCTTGAGTAATTAATTTATAGGAAATAAAACAATAAAGATGAAAAAATATACATCCAAGAAAACAACTAAATCACATGTGCAAAACAGAACATAAGTCAAAACCCCTAACCACTCACAAATAACGTTACACAAGTAAAGCTACTGGTTTTTCCTTCGTGGCGTGACACACAGGGTACAATTTAAAACAGGTCCGGAAGTCTGTAACGGCATTAGGCTCGCTCCTTCAATTACCACGAGTAAAAAAAACAAACTAAAAGGCGACAGCTTGTCCACTGGGCACAATATACACAGCGTGTAACCAAAATAAAAAGGCGTGGGAGAGGTACTTACTGAGAAGTACTCACCCGGATCTCTTAAGCATAGGAGCTCTTAACTCCTGATTTTTAAGACTGGGTGGCACCTGCAAATCAAACGTTCCCCATTAAAATCAGCCTTTTTACTCATCTAGTTTATCAATTGATGGACTAGTAGCAAAATCCTCCAATTTAAACTCCATATTTGCCGCCACCACAAAAGAATAACTGCCAACCAGACAAGTAGAGCTACAAGAACAACAAAATAAAGTTACCTAACACGACATAACAGGACAAAAGCAATAACTGACGACAAACCAGCAGCTTTAATTTTACTCAGAGATGAGCAGTACCCAAAACAACAAACAACCTAAAACTTCCCTAAACCGAAACAAAATGTAAAGAAAAGCTCTAACCTAGAACTATATATACCACAGTACACAATACACACAAGCGACAGTGATCGGGATCCAAGCAAGTCATTGCAACATTTGACATTTTCAGAGTAGAAGAACAGATGCAGATGACTTAAGAGATTAAAGTGATGAATTTGGACTTTGAGATAATTGCCAAAACATAAAGTTGATTGTTATAGCGCCACCTTGAGGTCTCTGAGTGCAATTTATTTTGCCTGAGTAGTGGGTGGAATTTGTAACCTACCAGCCAATTTTGGTGAGTTTTCGTCCAGCATTTTTTGCTGCCCAAATGCTTTTAGCGGAGAAGAAGAAGAAGAAAGAAAGAAAGAAAGAAAGGAAGGAAGAAGAAGAAGAAGGCTTTGCTGCTTGGATCCCTAAAGAGGATAGAAACAGAAATTGGGCTCTCACTCCATGCACTGCTTTTAAAGTGAGTCCCTTGATCCCTTGATCAAATATTGTCTTCCTCTTTCACACACACCAACATCCTGTAGGCCACTCTTAGCGAATAACTTTTTGTTTCACATGGGAAATGAACACAGCTCTCCTGCTTGAAAGGTTTCTGGAACACCCATCCACCCCAACCACCTCCTTACTCCTTTACTGTTACATATCAGCATTTTTTTTTTAAAAGAGCGCTACGGGGCTTCCCCAGGTGAGTGAAACTAAGGGCCGCATAAGCTAAGGGACTCCTTAGTGTATTACGACCCAAAGGGGGTTGACCATGCATCCATATGTGACAACTTGGGAGTGAGAACAGGTTGGTATGAGAGGAGTGTAATGTCCATGTTTGATGCTGAAAGAGGATGTGCTGGTCTGACCCCCCTCATCCTTTCAGGGTGGAGCCTGCTGGAGTCCGATGGTTGAGACCAGGTCTGAGGAAGTGTAAGTGTGTTTTTCATTTGATTCATCAAAACAAAGCAGCACAGATTCAACCATCTTCTGACTGTGACATCACTCATTCAAAGCTCTGACGTCGTCATCATCAAAGTGCCAATCACTGAAAAGATGATCAATAAATAACTGCAGCTGTATTGTGTCTCGTTCTCTCCATCAGATTCCTGTGAACTCACACTCGACACAAACACAGTAAACAGATGGATCAAACTGTCTGACAACAACAAGAAAGCAACACATGTGGAGGAGGATCAGTTCTATCCTGATCATCCAGACAGGTTTGACACTTGGCTTCAGCTGCTGTGTGGAAATGGTCTGACTGGTCGCTGTTACTGGGAGGTCATTTGGAGAGGAGACGTTCATATATCAGTGAGTTACAGAGGAATCAGCAGGACAGGAGACAGTAAAGACTGTGTGTTTGGAGAGAATGATAAGTCCTGGAATCTGTTCTGCTCTCATGATGGCCATTACTCTATCTGGCACAATAACAGAAGAACAACCTCCTCCTCCTCCTCCTCCTCTAACAGAGTAGCAGTGTATGTGGACTGTCCTGCTGGCTCTCTGTCCTTCTACAGAGTCTCCTCTGACACACTGATCCACCTCCACACCTTCCACACCACATTCACTGAACCTCTTTATCCTGGCTTTGGGTTCAGATGGTCTGCTTCTTCAGTGTCTCTGTGTTCTCTGTAGGAGGGAGAGTCTCTTCTAGATCAGTTGAGTGTGTACATGTTCACACTTCCAGTGTAGCAATGTATTACAGAATTCTTTATTTAAAAATGTTTTAAGTCTCAGCTCAAAAACGCAAAAAAAACACAAAAAAAAGCAAAAAAACACAAACTCGACTGTTACAGCGAAAGAAATGAAAACCTTCAGTGGGCTGTGTGTCACTATGGGCATTCTTCAGCTGCACGCAACGAGAGACTATTGGCAAAAAATCAGTCTTAGATCTAGTTACTAGTTCGATGTTTTCCATAGGTTTTACATATATTCTGTGTTCTGTTTCCGTCATCCTGGTCCGTTGTTTGTTCTAGTTTTAGTCCACTTGTCAGTCTTGTCAGTCTGTTCAGTCCATGTGTCTTGCCTTGCTTGCTGTTTTGTTCTGAAGTAGTCTGTGGGCCTTTTTTTTTTAATTTCCCACATTTTTCTTAGTCCCTCCCACCCGAGATGCGAGCCAAGGAGCGAGGAGTCAAGGAAACAGGCATTTAATGAAATGAGATCTCCTTGCCTCGGAACAGTCATTTTAAAGCGACGTCAGTTAAATATGACCTGTTGCACAGCTGCATCAGTTGTCCACTGTTTGAGCTGTGATCTTTGTCAGAGCAGCAAACCAGTATGGGATGAATATCCTGCCATCAAAAAAAAAAAAAACTTATGAAAGATTGAAACTAAGTGTTTGAAAACTCAAAATTTTACCAAATAAAATCTCTGCAAACATTGTTGTTTTTGAGTTTTTGTTCTTCAGAACTTTTTTTACAATGTTGCACAAACAATTTTTCAGAGTTTCAAATTTGTCAGTGTTCTCCCAGTGTATTAGTTTGTTTTCTAGGTTTGAAACCTTGTAAATGGTGATCTGAAAACTGGTGTGCGAATGTGTGAAAAAAGGTTTAAAACTCTATTAACTTTATTACATTACATTTGCTCTCGTATTGCAGACTATTTTTTCAGAGCTGAGTTAACAACACCCACTTTGTGGAGATACGCCGACTGGATTTGTGCATTTCATATCAAATGATTTGGAGACTCAAAAATCCCTTCCCTCTCTCTCTGAGAAAAAGGAGGGAGGTAGGAAAGTTTTCCTCCCCTGGAGGTTGCCCTTTTGACATGCTAGAGACATCGCCTGGGGTTTTGGTAAGGGTCTGCAGAGACTCAATCAGATATGCATTGCTTAAGGATGCCGTAAAGGTGTCAATAGACACTTAGCAGGACAGCAAAAAGAAGTGTCCGATCTCTCTCCCTATAGGGTGCCTCAGGACATCAAAGTACCGGACTTCTGATCCCCTTTTCCCATAGAATGGCTGGGCCATAAAACACCACTCCCGTCTGTTCTTTTAGCTGATGTGCAAACGTGATAAGCCAGGGATGCCAAAGGGGGACTTAACAATTCCTACCTCTAAATAAGTTAATTTTGCAGTGTTTTCATTTTCAGCAAGGTTAATGAAATTCCTTCATTTTATGTGTAACCAATGCTTGTTCACAATACTTTCTGACAATTCCTCTAGAAAGGATATGATAAAGGATAGATAGATGGATGGATGGATAACCAAATTCCACAGGTCCTGAGCAAAGATTGTCTTAGGGTTAATCCAAGCTATCATCATGTAACCTGAGCTCCCCCAAGTGGAAAAAATAAGTATTACATGCCATCGTCTGAAATGCTGTTAATGTATAAGTGTCACTCCGTATTTACCTGCCCACAATCTGATGCCATTCGTGTGTCTTGCTTTTATTCTCTAAGAACATGTAACAGCCAATATATCCATGAAGTTGTTCAGTCTATATGCTCACATCCGCCCTGAACACATCCACACATTTGATAAGGGACACACTCTCAACGCATCTACATGTCAAAATTCACTCAACCTCATAGCGCCACCTGCTGGAATCAGGAATCACCAACATGCACGCAACATTTGTGGTACATGTATCATCCCAAGACGCACAAAAAAGCCTATTGGAGCCATACCTGAAAACAGACAGGAAGTCAGCAATTTTGATTTGACTGATGTTTTATTACAGCCCATTTATGGCCTTTTATAAATTCCGTTCTTTAATGAACTCCTCCTACAGAATTAATTGGATTGACTTTTGACTTTTCTACTGTGCATTTTAAAAGTATTGACAGTGTAAATTTGTCCTATCTGTGAGTTTTTGTCGATGGTCGTGTCTGTGACGTGGCGTCAAAGATTGATGGTTCACCATTAAACTGGAAGTTATAATAACTTCAGTGTACATGCTCAGATCCATACCAAACTTTACATGGTTGATAAGTGTCCCGCCCTGAACACATCTATATGCAAATATTCACTCAACGTCATAATGCCACCCACTGGTAACAGGAAGTAAGCCCTTTCTGACAAAAATTATTTGATTTACATGGCATTTTCACAGCGTGGTCCACACTTCACCTACTGCTGCACAACATACAGTATAATTAGCGGGTGTTGATTTTACTAGTTTTGGACTGAGGATCAAGTGAGCTGATGAGAAACAGCTGCCACTGATTGTGCGACCCCCCCACAGGGACTACTGGAGGACAGAGGACTGGCTACTTGTTAAACTGATTGTGGACAGGTAAGCAGGGAGGCAGAGCAACACATAGCATCTTGGACTGCAAATCGGAGTCTGCCCCACCGGAGAGGAGCTGTTTGGTGATGGTACAGGGTCCGACAGAGCGAGATTGAGGCCGAGATTGAGGCCAGGATGGAGACCGCTTATCCTGTGTACAGGGTCGCGGGGGGCTGGAGCCAATCCCAGCTGCCATCGGACGAAAGGCAGGGTCCACCCAGGACCGATCGCCAATCCAGTGCAGGCCTTGGTGAGGCAAATATTTTAAATATTTTTTAGATGTCTAAAATATATGGAGTTCCAGCCTCCATCCACAGCAGCACTTTGCTTAACTTCCATGCTGGGACTCCTCATATTTCTTTTCCCTACACATTCAGTGATCTTTGGACTGATGGCGAGTACTTTAACTGACCTTGGAAATGTAGACACTGTAACTGTTTGTCAGATGTTTCAGCAAGCCAAATCTTGTTTTCACTGGCTTACTGTTAACCGAGGCTTAACCCCTTGACACCGATTGTAGCGAATTTGCATCATACGTCTTCCTTGCAGACTGCAAGTCAAGATAGCACATGGATTCCCCCAATGCCTGTTGGTGCATATTTGATAAGAGCCTAAGAACCTTTTGCAAGCCCTGGTTTGTGATTTATGCCTGTTGTCGCTTATTTGCATCATACCTACACATACCTGAATTTATATCTTTTCTAAAGACAAATTAACTGTTGTGAATTATTTTGGAGCATTATAGCCTAAATTGTTATCATTTATTACTAGAGCAATGGTGTTCTACATTGTCATCATTTAAAGTGTTATTTTATAGTGTAAAGTTAGGATCACAGTGTTAAAACTCTACAGCTCTGAGTGTATGTGCTCCTTTCTGTATCTAACTGCCCAGGCACATGTGTGTGTGTGAGCAAGTTCGTGTGCTTTGGGAGAAAAGGGAGGGAGCACAGTGAGATATCATCAAAAATACCTGCAAAGTAAAATATAGAAGCAGATTTTGTGCAAATTGTATAACAAAACATACATCAATATAGTCCATCACAGTAAGAATGTCCTGTTTCTAGCACAGAGCACAAACAACACCAGTTTATTCCATAAAAGTCAGGTTATGGAAGAAATGGCATGATCAAGCAGAGTTCATGCAGAGGACACAGAGAGGAGGAGCAGACAGTCAGGGACTTTCCCACCAAATGCTTGGGCACGTGAAAATCTTGGACTTTCCCAGATTCAGGTGCAGTAGGAAAGAGAGCCAAGAGATGATGTAAAGCCAAGAAACAGAGCTATAAAAGGAGGTCCAAAAGGAGGTGATAGTCAGTCGTTACATGGTTTTCATGTCGACTCGGGTCTCTGTTCTGGTAACAGTATGGGGCTCTATTTTGCACCGATCTCTGACTCACTCCGGTGGAACTTTTGTATTCTAATTGGTGTCTGTTTTTGTTGATAATAAAAATGTTGGTAAAAGTTCAAGCTTTCTTATCTGGCCCAAGTCTTGAATTTTTACACAACATTATAACAATCTTCACTTAATTTAACATCAGCTTGAAAGCAAATGAAAACACAAATAATTATTTTAATTTTTTTATGTCAGCTGTTTATTGCTGTTGTTCGGCTGGTTGTCTCGGTTCTCTAACAGGTGTTGTCCTTTCCCTGTTGTTTGTCTCACACCGCCACAACCTCCGCAACCTGCCTCCTGACTCACTTTGCCTCAGTGGTAGACTCAACTCTACCTCCCCTCAACACATTTTCCTCACTCGAGGTCAATGATACCGCACAATGTCTGTGCTCTACACTGAGCTTGTGCCTAGATAGCCTGTGTCCTCTATCCACCAAGCCTGCTCGCCTGAACCAGCCCCACCCATGGGCTCTGTACTGATCTCAGAGCCGTGGAAAGAAAATCGCAAAAAACCAAAGACCCTGCTGACCTTAAGGGCTACCAACTGCTCCTATCCTCCTTCTCAACAAGCATCAGTGCTGCCAAAACTGCGTTCTATAATGACAGAATTAGCAGTGCCACTGACTCAAGGAAATTATTTTTCATTAATCCACCTACAAACTTGTCTGCTGATACCTTTGCTGCCTTCTTCACAGGCAAAGTGGCGGCTATAACTAGCCAATTCTCTAAAAAACTCAAACTCAACCATTCTACTCCTGCCCTGGTCAGCTCCCATTGTGTGAACATGGCACTGGAAAACCTTTCATGTACCAGTCCTACAATAACTTTTCCTCTGCCCTCCCAGGTCAATGGCACCTCACTCTCCTCATTTACAAGCCCTAACGTCAGCTAAAGCTGCAGCCCAATCCTTGATTCTTATGCTGCTTGACCTATCAGCTGTCTCTGACACAGTCAATCACAGGATCCTGCTATCCGCAATGGGCATCTTGAGTAAAGCACTCCTGTGGTTCGAATCCTACCTCTCGAGGCGTTCCTACAATGTTTTGTGGCAAGGACAATTATCCTCCTCCCACTGCCTCTCCACAGGGGTGCCCCAAGGCTCAGCGCTAGGGCCCCTTCTCTTCTCAATTGACACCACCTCACTGGGGCCGATCATTTGCTCGCATGGCTTCTCTTACCACTGCTACGCAGACGATACTCAACTCTACCTATCCTTCCCGCCAGGCGATCCCACCGTCTCAGATTGGATCACAGACTGTCTCTCGGACATATCTGCATGGATGAAGGCTTGCCACCTTCAACTAAACCTCTCTAAGACTGGACTGTTGGTCATTCCAGCCAAGCAATCACTACCACCATCATCCACCATAACATCAAACTACATCAACCATCACTCAAACCAGGGTGGTGAGAAACTTGGGTGTCACTGGTTCCCTAACCAGGGTGGTGAGAAACTTGGGTGTCACTGGTTCCCTGTGGCCTCCTGAATCAGATTCAAGCCACTAATGTTATGGACCATCTTCTCCCTGTACCTGACAGTCTTCCATCTCTGTGTTTGGCTAACGGCTAGCTCCAGGCTAACACTTTCAGCGACCGGCATGAAGCTCAAGTACTCTATCCCACAGCTGCTAACTCTCAACAACTGTTCCATTCCAATGTGCATTGCAGCCATCAAAGAAATTGGACTTCAGCGCCGTCCGTGTTACATCCACAGAAGTTCCCGTCAAAAGTTTGTTTACCATCAGCCTGCCCAGCC